ACATCAGGTGACTTACCTCTGTTAGAAGTCAGAGGAGAATTCATTGCATACATAAGACGATGTTGTCTTTAATCGCTTTCTATTTATTACAAATATCGAATCCTAATTAAATTCTCGGATTATCCACTACCCGCGTCTTTTTCCGTCATTTTTATCTCAGAAACTGTTGTATGTCTAACTCTTCATAAATTTTATCAACTTGTACATCAAGCACTCAATGTTCACATGTGACCTTTGACATCACGTGTGCAGAAATTCCTAATCGTCAGGTTGTCGATTAGGGGAACCCTTACATTTTTGTCCTGTATACTCTCCATGAGTGTTTTTTGGCGAATCCAGTATTTTTCTAGTAAAATTGGATATCTCTACTTTCCATTCTAAATTACCATACTTTTATTGGAAATAACCACCTGATAAATACTTTTCTGGGAACCCATCTTTAAATGCTATTCAAAAAATTGAAATTAAATGCTATTCAAAAAATTGAAATTAAATGATCCGCTTGAAAAAACAACCTCAAGGGTTTTCTCCGGGTCCTCCGGTTTCCTCCCACTTCTAAAGACCCCTACGCGCAAGCGAATTATGTAAATGAAATTAAACCATATGTTAGTCTCGAAATGACCTAGTTTATGTAAATGAAATTAAACCATATGTTAGTCTCGAAATGACCTAGTTTGTGTCTCAGACTTAAAGCGAGAATTTCAAATTTTGTAAGAAAGTCAAAACATAATTATTTCTATGTCTTTTGCTCAATAGGTTATCAAATCACTATTATACGATCATGGGCATTATTTCCCACCCTTAAAAATCTATGAAACAGGAAATAACAACACAATTACCTCCCCTGTTTTGCTATTGACAACAAGGGGAAACCATTTTCCAACGTTGGAATTTGAAGTTAAAAATGATATTTTTCCCAATTTCTCAGCTGGCAATAGCGAATTATAGGATTAATAGGATTATTCTTTAACAAGGTAGGACTGTTTATGGATACCATCTATTTTAAGGCTTTATTTTAATACATTTTAAAAATATGACTTGAAAATTAACAATTGCAACTTTAAGTTAAGAATTTACTCAAAATTGTTTGCTTATTTTACCTAAAATATAGCCCTTTATAAAACTTTTGTTGTTTTATATCAAATACATCAATAAGAAACTATGTGCAAAGTCTTGTGTTTCTGGATCAAAGACATTTCTCATAAACATATCTTGCTCCGTATGAAGTAATTTGACTCATTTAAATCTTACATAATGCATCTTTAATATCTGTCAAATAGGGTGGGGGTGGGAGCGACGGGGTAGTGGGGGGGGGGGGGGGTAGTGGGGGGTGGGGGTATACCTGAGAGAAGACCAGCATCTGTTGTGTCTTTCGTGCCTTTATTATTAACTGTTAAAATTTTTATACATGTAGGCCTACTTCTCTCAAGTATAACAGGTTTCACTAGCTGCATAACTTCCTGTAATAATAAACAATATGTTGTCATGGGTTACATACAGCATACTCTGCTTCATACACAGATTACATACAAGCATACTGAGATACTTGACAATCAAAGTCCAAGTCTTGATTATCCATTTTTTCTTTCAATTTAAACATTTTGTGGGTGTTCTAATCCATTTAAATCTCAGCCATTCGATAATCTAGACCAGTGATTTTCAACCAGTGTGCTGCGGCACACGTGTGCCATGAGATCTTCCTAAGTGTGCTGCGAACATTTGAACGGCAGGCACACTAAGAAATTGCGAAAAAACGTGTGATCCCAATTGAGTATTCACTGGTGTCTACTGGTAACTTCATAGCGTTTTTTTTCTTTATTTAGTTTTTGAGTCATTCTATGTGTCTATGACTAGTCTCTGTCTACGGATCTATGCTGTATTTGACTTGCCATTGTTTTTTTTTTTTACAAAATTGAAACATTTTTCATATATATTTAGCCAGGTGTGCCACTATTTTTACATGTGTTCCAAGGTGTGCCGTTGGTAAAAAAATGTTGAGAACCACTGATCTAGACAGTTGATTATGGTCTTGTCATGTGTCTAAATAAAGACCCGCAATACGCAGATTTAGCTCTTATATAATGTATCTTTTTAAGTGTGTCTACATACATGTATATTGCTTAATTACCTGAAAATGTTTTTCTTCAAACCAGAGTTTTTTACCTGTCGTACATTATATAATGTATCTTTTTAAGTGTGTCTTATAAACATGTATATTGCTTACCTGAAAATGTTTTTCTTCAAACCAGAGTTTTTTACCTGTCGTAGTTTGCGGATGAATCTGTACTTGTATAACTTTAAATTTGTTGACCTGGGAAAAACAAGAAACAAACTGTTAAATTTATGCTTATAAAAATGTTCTTTATATCATAGGATAGTTATTGAACATTAATATTTTATTATCAATGGCTTAATTGCCTGCTTCGACTTAAAAGAGCTTAAAAGTCACTTACTCAACAAATGCAAAATGGTAATACATTCTAACCCCTTTAAGCAGTAGGCTATTTCGATTTTTATTTTCAGACAAGGTACTGGTAACAAATATACTTGAATACATGTTCTTCAACACACTTTGCCTTTTGTGTTTAAAATTTGGAAGCCAAGTTGCTTAAGTTCGTAAGACGCTAGCTCACAAGCTAGTCAGTGGTGCAGGACGGAGGGCCTGACAAGGACACCTGTCTAGTCGTTCGGATGGCTCGAAAAAACAAGGTCCTGTGTACACATTGCCATGCATGTAAAAGTTCCCTAGTCAGACTGGAACTTGATATAAGAGTAGGCAAAATTTCCCTCATAGCACACTGTATGGTGTATGCCTGTCTTCATTTGCCCTGTTGGAGGCAAACCCCCATTTGATTCATTTCGTTTAAAATTACCATAATTTGCTGTGACTTTTAGTTTAAAATGATTATTAATCATAAATCTAATATAGGCAATAAACTGTAACCCAGGAATCGTTTAATCTTGTGTATCTAGCACTAATTTCTTTCACATTTGTTTAATATCCAATCTTTGTTTAAAAATTTATTAAAACTGTTTAAACTCACCAAAAATCATTTAATCTTGTGTATCTAGCACTAATTTCTTTCACATTCGTTTAATATCAAATTTTTGTTTAAATATTTGTAAAAACTGTTTAAAATCGCCATAAATCGTTTAATTTGTACTTCTGTCCAGTTTAAAGCTGACCATTCAATTTTGATAATGAGTGTCCAATTTACAAGTGTTTAACTTCTCAATCATTGACGTCATTGTTAAAAAATAAACAACCTAATTGATTAATGATGTATAATGATTAATTTTTGAACAGTGATCAGGAAATTAAATACTTGTAAATTGGACACTCATTATCAAAATTAATCAGTCAGCTTTAAACTGGACACATGTACAAATTAGATGATTTTTGGTGATTTTAAACGATTTTTACGAATTTTTAAACAAAGATTCGATATTAAACGAAAGTGAAAGAAATTAGTGCTAGTTACACAAGATTAAACGATACCTGGGTTACAGTACACACCCTGATATATTCCGTTCTTGAAACAGAAAAATTTGTCTGAGCCATATTTTTCTTGATTATTTTGATTCAATTTCTGCTTTTTGACAGTAATCATCATTCGGGATTTTTGGAACCCTGTTCCCGCGGATTTAGAGTTACCTTTTCCTGGCGGGTCGCTCACGTCATTAAAAATTAGCATTGCGTTATTTGGTCATGATTTTGAGCAATGGAACATATATTTTACATAAGAGAACAAAGAAATTCTCAAAATATTCACAATTATGCCAAATTATTGGTTAACTCTTCGCTAAAATAAAAATATTATGATAATTTGCTAGGACATAAGCGATAATTCATAGAGGTGACCATGTTTTCTAAGATTGGTTGCCGACGTAATTAGGTACGTATAATAACCTAAATTAACGGTCAATTGGCCAGAATTATAGCCAGCAGACTTTTGTAATATAAAATCTACATTTCTAACTTCCATTTTATGTGGTTTGTCAATATTAATTTGACTGAATTACTATCATTTGGAATCGAAATGATTGTGACTCATGACCGTATTTGTCTGGATCAACCGGAATTGCTCTATTTTTTTATTTTTTCGACCGGTTACAAAGTCGAGATTAATTTGTAGCAAACAAGACATTCTTTGGTTTTCTAATGATAAGAGAAAATTTTGCCATCCATGTTAGGATATTGAGAGAGAGAGAGAAATGTGGTTTAACGCCCACTCAACACAAATTAGGTCATTTCGGGACTGACACCACATGGTTTAATTTTATATCAATAATTTGTTAGCACGTAGGAGTCTTGAGCAGTGGTAGGGAACCGGAGAAAACCCACGAGGTTGGACAGGCGACTCTACGTTTTGGGTAAATCTATGGATCCAAAATATTTGTGTTAAAATTAAGTAATTTATTTATTTTACGAAGTGGATATTTAACCGTATACGGCAAAGTATCTACTTCCGCTATTTTACCGTACATCGTTTCTGATTCAAAATGACGGAAACTACAGATATATTCCATCATTTTGGCAGAAGCACGATTTTACGGGAAAAACATAAACCACTGACAGTCTTAGTACTTAAATTAAAAACCAAAATCCGCAGAAATGTGCCCTCGACCAAAATAGAATAATATTCTAAATGCTTTTCTACAATTTACATTTATCATCTTATTTTCTTTTACAAATAATTCTCCAGTTTCTACCATAGAAATTCAAGTATGGCTATTTCGTTCCTTTATAAGAAACGGAAAAAGAAGCAATGTTAGACAAAGAACGAATAGAACTGTTGGGTTAGGGTTAGGGTTTGGGTTATGGGTTAATGTCCAAAACTGCTAAGTCCAGGTATCAGAGAACTGTGCATGTTAAACGGAAGCGTACAGCAAAATAGTAAATAAAGTAAAGTGCTGTATACGGAACTTAAATATCCACTGCCATTTTATATTTAATTAATTTACACCTACATTCGGCTATGTTGATTTTGATATTTCAGGCAAGAATATGTCGAATAATTTTTTTGAGAACCTAAAGAAAAGCCGAGTTTTGCTTGTAATGGTTGGTAGTATTATTAGTTTTCACATTGGTTGGTACTTTATACAGTTTAATGAAAAACTTGTTCCTTTAGAAGAAAGGAAACCTCGAGTAGCTGGCATTAATTTATTTAAGATTGAAGAGAAAAAGGACCAAGGTGAGCTAAGGATACATTATGGGAGATTAGATAATTAAAGAGCTGACAGTTATCACTATAATAGTTAAAAACTAGATAATGTAAATGGAATATGCTGAAAATTTCAGCCGAAAAAATCCTATTTTAGAATCTTTGGAGCCTTGATTGTCATTTTTAGCGCTGTCACGATGATAACAAAGTCTCGATTATCCATTTTTGCATTTAAACAGCAGATCAGATTCAATTCCAATGAAAACCAGACAGATAAGATGGCCTCGAGTGTTGATTATGCTCTGGATAAGTTAATTAATGTCTAATTAATAATTTAGATAACATTTTAGGCAATAGGCAGATTTAGCTCTTGCATAATGTATGTTTAATTGCATTGCCGTATTTACTGGGGGATGGATGGCAGAATGGTTAGCACATGCGTGCTGTATCATAATGTCTGACATGGAGTCAACTGGCGTGGTTTCGATTTCCCAGTTGTACGTGACAAGGAGTAGGATCGCCTGTCCAGTTTTGTAGGTTTTTTCTGGGTCCTCCGGTTTCCTCCCACTGCTAAAGACCCCTACGTGCAAGAGAGTTATTCAAATAAAATTGAACCACGTGTTAGTTCCGAAATGACCTAGTTTGAGTCGAGTGGACGCTAAACCCCATTTCTCTCTCTCTATCTCTCTGTAAATACTGAACCAACTTAAACAAATTTCAAGGGACTGATATTTCTTTTGTGAAATTATATTTTTTACCTGGGATTAACTCTCCCTCAAATTGTGCCAAATGTATTGCGATTCACCTGAACATTAGCGTATTGAATCGCAAGACGCTGAATTGATTTTTCACGATTCTTTTTTTTTTAAAATAAATAATTTTTTGTTGCTTCAGTAATTAACGTGTCACTCTGAATTATCCACGTCACACATTACCCATAGATATATTAACACTCTTAAATTGTTCTGGTCCTTATTTTGATCCCCATCATGATATAAAACAGTTTTATTTCTTTGATATCGGCAGAACTAAAGATATCAATTATTCATTTATCCTGTTGTTTTCTTAGTAAATATTAACCTGGTTATAAATTGTGATACGAATCGTATTGGGGGGTTGGATGGCCGAATGGTTAGCATGTGCGAGCTGTATCATAAGGCCAGTCATTGAGTCAACTGGCATGGTTTCGAATCCCCGGTTATACGTGACAAGGAGTAGGGTCGCCTCTCCAACCTCGTGGGTTTTCTCCGGGTCCTCCGGTTTCCACCCACTGCTAAAGACCCCTACGCGCGAGTTATTGAAATAAAAAATTAAAACCACATGTTAGTCCCGAAATGACCTGGTTTGTGTCGAGTGGACGTTAAACTCCATTTCTCACTCTCTCTCTCACAAATCGTATTGTAGCACCCGAATCGCAATGAGTATCATATCGCGACTGTAGTGGCAATACCCAGCACTAACCTAGCATTTAGCGATTTGTTATTTAATACGCTAGCCTGGAGGTCGATCCCTGCACTGGCTGAAAAAGTTCATCCAGATTTTCCAGCGTGGTTCCCAACTTCTCAGTGATGCAGGACGGAGGGCCTGACAAGAGACATCAGTCTAGACGTTTGGATGGGACGAAAAACCAAGGTCCCGTTGAACACATTGACGTGCACGTAAAAGATCCCTTTTCTGTTGGAATTTGATATAAGAGTAGGCTGTAGTGCCGCTGTCCAGGCAAAATTTCCCTCATAGCGCACTGTATGGCTTATGCTCGTCTTCATTAGCCCAGTTCAGAGCAAAACAGTCGGACATTAAACCCCATTTCATTCCATTTAAGTTATTTAATACTTTGGGTTGTTTTTTTTCAGAAAAATGATCAAAAACAAAGGACCAGGATTTATTGAGAAAACAGTTTTATATGTACAGAAAAATAAATTTGTGTCACTTTTAATGATCTGTGGAACAATTTTCGTGGCAACCATACCTAGTAATTTACCAAAAGTTTCTCTCTCCTCGGAACGATCACAGCAACGAGTTGAACAGCTTCAGAATAAAGTAGATTCAATAAGTAATGGTAGTGAAAGTTCACAATAAATGTTTAGTTTCTTGTTAGTTTCGTGTGGTAAGTCGGCCTATATATTTTAACTGTTTTTGTGTGGTAACAAGGCCTATAACTGTTTATGTGTGGTGTAGCAATATAGTCGTTGCAACATTGTTTATAAATTTATAGGCAAGGACTAGAGAAATAAGATAGCTGTATATTATATTAATTAATATCTTTGGCAAGTTGGTAGATTCACATATATGTAGAATTGTACTAAATCAACTTAGTCTGTAATTGACAGTTGACACATAAAAAGAGTTATAGAGCCAAAACATAGCTACTTGTTTGTGTCAATACAATACCACGAGATTACACGTGAGTGGAATAATTCTAATTGCATCATTTGGCTTAAAGTAACAAATCATTTTGTTAATTACACTAGTTCAGGGCCATGAAAACGCTTTGTTATGCGTGATATACGTGAGTGCTATAATTGAATCATGTGTCAGTCCCGAAATGACCTAGTTTGTGTCGAGTGGCTGTTAAACCCCATTTCTCTCTCTCTTATATATATATATATTATAACTTTTTTGTGTGGTAACACGGCCTATACATGTATATTATTCCTGTTTGTGTGGGGGAATCACCTTGCGTGAGGCAAACATTTATTTTTTAAAGAGTCTTGAATACAGCATCGGTATATATATGTACATGTAGGCCTGTTGTTGTCACGACTGGGTTCAATCCTGATGGGGAGCCACGGTGGCTAGTGGTTAAAACGCTGGCCCGCTAGCCTGGAGGTCGGGTGTTCGATCCCTGCATTGGCCGAGAAAGTTCATCCCGATTTTCCGACGTGGTTTCCCCTTGTCAGTGATGCAGGACGGAGGGCCTGACAAGGACAGCTGTCTAGTCGTTTGGATTGGACGGAAAACCGAGGTCCCGTGTACACATTGGCGTGTACGTAAAAGATCCCTTGACAGTTGGAATTCGATATAAGAGTAGGCCATATTGCCGCTGTCCCTCATAGCACACGGTATGGCGTATGCCCGTCTTCATTAGCCCAGTTCGAAGCAAAACAGTAAGATGTTAAACCCAGTTTATTTCATTTCATTACAGTATACAGTGTGCTATGAGGGATATTTTGCCCAGGCAGCAGTGCTACAACCTACTCTTATTTCAATTTCCAATGGGATTCTTAATGTGCAGACAATACACATGACATCATTTTTCTGCTCCCACCGAAAAACTAGACACTGTTTCTTTCAGGCACCACAGAAAGCTGGGAAACCTGTCTGTAAAATCCTGATGAACTCAACCAGGATTGAAATGAAATGAAATGAAATGGGTTTAACATCTTACTGTTCTGCTCCGAACTGGGCTAATAAAGACGGGCCTACGCCACACATTCATTTAATATCAAATCTTTGTTTAAAAATTCGTAAAAATCGTTTAAAATCACCAAAAATCATCTAATTTGTACATGTGTCCAGTTTAAAGCTGACTGATTAATTTTGATAATGAGTGTCCAATTTACAAGTATTTAATTTCCTGATCACTGTTCAAAAATTAATCATTATACATCATTAATCAATAGGGTTGTTTATTTTTTAACAATGATTGAGAAATTAAACACTTGTAAATTGGACACTCATTATCAAAATTGAATGGTCAGCTTTAAACTGGACAGAAGTACAAATTAAACGATTTTTGGTGATTTTAAACAGTTTTTATGAATATTTAAACAAAGATTTGATATTAAATGAATGTGAAAGAAATTAGTGCTAGATACACAAAATTAAACGATACCTGGGTTACAGTGTATATTGTCGTCCGTCTGTTATTTGATTGTGGATAAGCTACCAGTCACAATTTTTATGCGATTTTGATGAAACTTAAAAGATGTTTATATCTCAAAAATCTGAATTATGGCCCCTGATGGTGCAACAAATCACATTTTTAGCTTGTGGACCCACTAGAGGTCAAAATTTTCATCCAATTTGAAAAAAAACGTTGAAATATATCACTGTTACAACATAATGAAGGTTGACTTCGAATTTTGGGAAAAATCGGAATGAAACTGCCCGAATAAATGGCAGCGCCTTGTACCCAAATAGTGTTTAGAAGAAGGTTGTGGACCCTCTATTCCAGTGATCTTGGTTCCTTTCTATGTTCGCGCATATCAGACCATAACTTCCTGGATTATGGTTCCTGATTGTACAAAAAATCATGGTTTTTTTTCTAGGTTGTGGACCCTCTATTCCAGTGATCTTGGTTCCTTTCTATGTTCGCGCATATCAGACCATAACTTCGTGGATTATGGTTCCTGATTGTACAAAAAATCATGGGTTTTTTTCTAGCTTGCAAAATGTGGTCTTATCTTGCATGGCAACCTTTGGTTTATTTTACATTTAATGTGAACTGATCAATTTTGTATTTATTTTACATTGTAGATTGTTAAATTTTGGAATGATGGGGTCTCGAGAAACATTTAAAAAGCCTTCTCACCTTCAGGTGGACACTTTAGACGACCCTGAAATCCGAGCAGCCATTTCGACACTGAGACAGATCGTAGCTTCGTGTATGGGACCACACGGAAAAATTAAAATAATCCAAAATGCAACTGGTGGTCACATTACGCGAACAACAACCTCTTCAAGGCTGTTTGGTGCCATTTCTCTCTCGAAACCCGTTTTAAAACTAATCGTTAGTTCTGTTCAATCACACGTTGACCAGTACCAAGATGGCGGCCTAATGGCTTGTTTGTTTTGTTTATTGTTGGTTGAGTCGTCGCTTGATTGCGACGTTAACCGCTCCATCTTGGCCGATCTTTATCAAGTGTTTTACGATATTGTTGATGATTATATGAATTCTGACGAATGCGCGTGTAAATACGAATTAGATTTTTCAAATTTGGATGCCATGATGGCTTTCGTTCAGAATATGTATGATTCTAAGCCGTTTTGTGGTCTCTATGGTTACCAGCTAGAAGAGTTCTCCCGTTTGATTCTTCAGACGTTTTTGCAGTGCATACCTGACATGGCGAGCTCGAAGGCCAGTTTTTATACAACAAGGATTTACCTGCTGTGCGTCAAACACGAGGACATGAATTATTCCAGAAATTTAAACGGATTAGTGATAGAATACCCGGAGTTGTCTTGCCATGTGGAGAAGAAGTTGTCTATAAAACGAAGCCTGGATTCGGCTTCCTGTCACCGAATTAAAGTAGCTTTAGTCAATTGCTCAATGTCCGGTGACGCGGAATCCGAACTGAATGCTAATTACGAAGTTGCCACTGGCGTTAATCCCGATATGTTTTTTCTCGAGAAGATATTGTCCTTCTGTTATCAGCTCGTTACCATGGGAACCGGACTTGTGATTTGTCAGAAAGTTATGCATCCCCGCGTAAAGGAATATTTTAGAAAAGAGGGTGTGTTGTTTACAGATCGTCTGGGTGCGATGCCCGTACCATATGTACAGGATGTAACAGGTGAGGTATTAGAAATTGGGGTTGAGAGGAAGGGGTTTTGATGGCCGAATGGTCAGCGTGTGGCGCCTTGACTCATAACATCTGTCATTGAGTCAACTGGCGTGGTTTCGATTCCCCGGTGTACGTGTCAAGGAGTAGTGACACCTGTCCAACCTCATGGGTTTTCTACAGGTCCTCCAGTTTCCTCCCACTGCTGAAAATTCATGCGTGCAGGCGATTTATTGAAATAAAATTGATTTCTGACTTTGCGTATCGCCCAGCTAAAGGTTTTTCCATTATAAACAGACATACAATAAAGTGTGTTAGCTGTCAACTTGATTCTGCATCAAACAAAGAATATTATATTTATCAAGTCAGGGGCGGATCTAGGAATTTTGAAAGGGGGGGGGGGGCGTCGCAAAATGAAGGCACTGACCGACCGCGTAGACGGGGCATGCCGCGGAGAGGGGATTTCTTTTTTTTTCTTTTTTGGGGGGGGGGGTCCCCCCCCAAGAAAATTATCCGTCATTTCCTTGCATCTTCCAAGAGCTATTTGGCTGATATTTTCGTCCAAGTAAACATTCGGAAATCGTTGAAAAAGAGCCTGAAAATCGAGCAAAAAAGCCAGTTGAACATGCGACTCGAAAATTGTCAAGGCGAGCGAGGCATTATGATGGGGAAAAAAGACGAATCTATTCCCTAGCCACTTCACTATTTAAACCTTGTAACTTGTACTTTGTACTGTCCACACATTGTTTGGCGCAATATAGCCCGGTTGGAGCTGACGTGCCATAAAACCACATTGCATTTAATTTCTGTCCACACATGAAACAATGCTACATGTACATCAGGTTGCACTCATGCGCGTCAGTGATGGGCATGAGTGTATACGCCGCCGATTCCACAAGATGTCTGTCTATAGTCACTCTATAGGATAAGGGCACCGTCAGCTAAACAACAAGAATTGGTGTGTTTGAATCGATGGTTTGAGTCATTTGGGATCCCTGCAACGGATTGTGAACGGACATATTTGGGTCTGAGAAAAGGCACTTTCAGCAGTAAAAAAGGACACTGCCGAAAAATAGGGGGGGCACGCGCCCCTCACGCCCTCCCTTGAATCCGCCTCTGCAAGTTGTCATAAGGTATGTCATTGAGTCGAGTGGATTTTCTTTCGGTTCGCCGGTTTCGTTTCGTCCTGCTGTTGAAGATTCCTACATCATTGAAATAAAATTGCACCATTTTGTTTCATGTTAACGTTTAATCAATCAATTAATTTGTTTCGTTTTTTTTATACTTTCGATGGTCTACACTACATGAAGATCTGACCGTTTGTAGCGATAAGTCGCGTCAGGGGTCGTAGTCGTACGAGCAGCTTCTGACCCTAATACATCAAACATTGACTAATCAATCAGCGTTGATGTTACTAGTGGTTTACCCACAGTTCCGTGCACAGCACACCAATTATCAACCCTCATATCAACCAGAACGCGGGTTATACATGTATAACAACTCTTCCAGATCCTTGTAATAAAGACAAGTAAAACGAAATTTTGAACTATAGAAAATGAAACAAAATAGGATCTGTGTTTAATGGTTTTGTAATGTTTTTGTGCAGGTGCAACACCAATTGGCCTTCTAACAGAAGCTCCTTCTGATGGTATGTTTGGTTGGATAGATCACATAGAACATGTGGTTATACATGACAAGAGTTATCTCCACTTACAGGAAGTAGATAGTTGTGTTATTACTCTAGTATTAGCTACACCAGATGAAGACAAGCTAGATGAATTAAAGGTTTGTATTGTTATGCAGCTTTTTAACCGTTTCTCTACTGGTCCCTATAACCCCGTTTACACTTGGCCACGATATCAGGCAGCGATAAATTTCATAAAATTGACCCGTTTACGTTAAAATAACTGGTCTCGGAACCATGTCAGACACTCTGTGTAAATTACCTGAATGAAAACAATTATGGCAGGTTTTATGATAACAGTTTCTGTGCCGATTTCTATTCTGAGCTTGGCTATTTTAGTGTGTGACAATGTAATGAACAGCCTAATGCAAATTATTTATGTCTTTGATTCGATTTAATCATCGCCCTGTTTCAAGATTTGTCCGAAATATTTAGTTCTTACAGGCAGACACGGCAAGTGTCAGACGAAAAGCCTAGGTCCATCTTTGTACACATTTGCATGTATGTAATTCCAATGACTCGGTGAAATGGCCGAGACAGTTCATTGGGATTTCCCAGCATGGTTCCTCCTTGTCAGAGGTGCAGGACAGGGGGCCTGGCAAGGGACAACGTATAGTCATTAAGATGGGACAATAAACTGAGGCCCCGTGTAAACATCTCGTGCACGTAAAAGATCCCTTGGCAGTTGGAATTCGATATGAGTAAATGAGGGACATTTTGCACTACGGCCTACTCTTATATCAAATTCCAACTGTCAAGGGATCTTTTACGTGCACACCAATGTGCATATAGGACCTTGGTTTTTCGTACCATCCGAACGACTAGACAGCTGTCCTTGTCAGGCCCTCTGTACTGCACCACGGACAAGGGGAAACCACACCTGAAAATCCAGATGAACTTTCTTGGCCAACACCGGGATCGAAACCGCGACCTCCAGACTAGCAAGCCAGTGCCTCACTCACTTAGCCACCATGGCTCCCCACCATAATTATACCCAGGATCTCCTGCCCCCTGTGTACTTATTCTGTAACCAAGAGGAATATCCAATCATTAGAATGTTTGTATACTTTCAGACGACAACTTTAGGTGTATTGAGAAATTTAGAACGATTAATTATCCAACCAGAAGTGTTATTTGGTGGTGGATGTTGGAACACCCATGTAGCCGCCTACTTACGACATCATGTGAGTAGTTCTATCTTATCTCCCAGAACTCCCTAAATCAGCCTAGTGTATTCACACGATTTTGTGTGACTTGTTGAAGCCACGAGCAATGGCCAATAGACCTTTCTGACCTGCTTTAGCCCTGACTTACAATTAATCATTGCCATATTGTCTCACTACAGAACAATTGTGTCATATGGTTCTACGATAGACAGAGTTTAAATCTTAGCATTGGAAAGGTCTATTATTAAGCCCCAAGCGTGCTGTGTGGTTGTAACCACCATTTTATAAGGTCACATGAACTTTTAGCTTGTGATGATTGGTCAATAGATTAATTGCTGCATGACAGACTGCTGCTTAACTTATTAGATGTTTGGCATTGTGTCACCGACAACAAAAGTCTAGAACAGTGACAAAGTCGAAGTGACAAGCTTGCAGGGGATTTTTTTCTAGCAATATGGCAGCAATTACAAATTGCTTACGAATAGCCTTAGAAAATAGTTTGTGTCTACTAGGCTTAAGATATTTTATTTTCTTCATGGTTAACTTTGATAAAACTTAAACTGATTTCCAGGTGGCTCAAAATCTATCGGCGCTTGCATCAACCCATGATTGTTCCGAGAGTCTGGTGTCAACTTCAGCCGAAATATTTGCTAGATGTATGGAGAAAATTGCCATGGTAACGAGTCCAGACAGCATGGATCACTTAGTAGATGTTTCTAGTCATCACGTCTGGAGAGTTACTAAAGGGGAGATAACTGACATCTCGTCTATAAGACATTCGCCAAGTTTAAAATGTGGCTGTGGCTTGTTAGATGGAGCAATGGTTAAAGATTTCCAATTCCTGAATGAAAAATTGTCAGGTCCCAAATATGAAGAATTCCTGGTTTCGAAGCCGAACAGTGAAGCGATTGGTTGTGATATTGTGTCTGATAGTCTGTCCGTTGTCGTCAATGCGTTACGCATTGCAGTCAATACGGCCAGTTCCATAATAACGGTTGGACAGTTCATACACGATACCAACTAATCAAAAAAGGTCTTTTAAATGATTGAAAATGTACAATATGCATGGTTTAATGGTTGGTTCCCAACTCCCTAAGGCTCGTTTTCTATGTACACTTCATACACGATACCAACTAATCAAAAAAGGTCTTTTAAATGATTGAAAATGTACGATATATACGTGGTTAAATGGTTCCCAACTCCTTAAGGCCCGTTTTCTACGTAAGCATTTTCGCTGGCGTTTCGGCGCATGTTTTTCGCCAGCGATAAAGTCAGTCTAATGCAAATATAAAGGAACCCTTTACACGTAACCCACGAAAACGCTTAGGGAAATATGTACATTTAAAACAGGTGTAACGTAACAATTGAAAAGTTTTTAAGAAGAAAGTTTGTAAGATTATGATTTTAAATATATAATGAAGCATGATTCTTGCAATGATTAGCATGATCCTTGTCCAAGCTTTCACTTCCTGTATTGAAACTTTCTGTATTCAAATTCACCAATCAATCTTAAACACTACAACTCCAGTATCATGTCATTGTGCTGTTTTTTTTACGAGTTCCTGTATTTGATGTTTAGTTTCAAACCATAGTTGACAAGCTGTTCTAACTGTTGCATAGTTTAAAATGGTCCGTCTAGATTAGGTAACATGTATTAGGGTTTACAACTGTTTACTATATCTCGAGTTATGTTGAGTAAACAACAGACTACGCTAATTAATATGCATTTTTATCGACCACTGATTAGCCGAAGTGATTTGCATTCAATCAAATTTTCATCTGTAATGTCTATCTAATTTAAATTTATCAACACCGATTTCTGAAGCAATTACCACAATTCACCAAATCACCTCTAGGTGCGATTTGATCAGGTGATCACATGTTGTTTTCAACTATGTCCAGCCGCAGCTGATCAGCACATTTAACGAACTCACCAAAGTACTTTGAAATCAACTATACTGTCACATGACAGGATTAAATTCAAATAGATTTGGCATATCGATAAAATAGCCTAATTACTCAACACTACTTAGGAAAATAAACATCTAATCTATACGAACCATTTTAAACTACACAACAGTCAGAAAACCAACAGTTGTAATTGATTATCAATGAATTTTAACAATTGGTCATTTGAAGTTAACATTATATACAGGAACTCCTGCTAAAACATCCCAACTACATGATATACACAAGTTAACATTATATACAGGAACTCCTGCTAAAACATCCCAACTACATGATATACACAAGTTGTAGTGAAAATGTTGGGATTATCTTTATCAGATTAAAATACACATCTAATTGTTACTTTTGTTTTTGTTTAGTTATAAAAATATACGATTTGATCTGTGTTATAATCAAGCCTGGAAATTACAGTGTTAATTGTCACTGATAAAATGTCTGACACTTATAAACTGGTACCTGGTCAAATTACTTGACTCTGAGCCACGATATCCTTGAATATACAATTATAGCCTCGATTGTCATTACTACTGTTGTTAACAAAGTCTCGATGAGCCATTTTTAAGGTATCCGCATCGACCACAAAACGAAGTAAAATCTGCTTATATCGCAGCCATCCGATGACATCAAGAGTTGATTATGGTCTGGATAAGTTAATTAATGTCTTAATTAATAATTTAGATATCATTTCAGGCCTAAACAAAGACCTGCAATAGAAAGATTTAGCTCTTGAATAATGTATGTTTAATTAGAAAGACAAGCCAGTGCTAAATAAAACGACAGGTACCAGAGCAAATGTTCCTGACAAAGCCTGAATCTGTGTCTGACATTGCCAGTGTCAGATGCTCTGTTTCCAGACTTGGTTATAATAGCTTGTCCGTAATTTATCAACTATTTTAGCCGATCGATATTTATATACCGTTTGCCTTATATTAAATTATAAAAGCTATATTATATGTACTAGTTGTATATATTGTTATCGTGTTCGTCTGCATGTTTAAATATAGAACACCTTCGTCTAGTTGTAATTTACAGGTAGCCAAATACTGATCGTTTATTAGCTTAGCAGGAGGACCACACAACATACAAACAAAACACCAATAAAACAGACCGCCATAAAAAACAAAACACGCACTATGCAAACATGGGGACAAGAAATAAACAATTAATATCAAATCAAGTGAATGGATTCTGGTGGCATGACACAAAAAGGAACGCCATTGGCCTTAATTGTGTCCGTGTGCAGTCCTGACTGGCAATGAAGTTGAATAGTGGACGAACTAACCGTTCTGTCAGTATTAAACACCATAAATACAATCAAATTGTCAGGATAAATCCTCATCAATTAAAAGTAAAAAATTTTTCGACCAGTCACTCGACCCAAAGCACTGCTCATCATGTTCTTCGAAAAAAGGCAATTCACGTAAGATCAACATGAAAAATGGCATCCATGTTCCTTGGGGAAATTGAGCATTGATTGAAAGACTTCGATTTTTGATATTACATCATAATTTCAAGATGGCTGCGATGGGGTCATGCTCGGTTTCTGGTCCATGGCACAATCGTTGTTGTTAAATGAGTCCTCCGTTACAACATATTTTGTTTCACGTGTACATGTAGATGTTCATATAAATAACGCCAGCAGTGTTCGATTGAAATCAAAGATGACTGCGATGGCGTCGTTCGCAGTTCCTGGTCCATGTTACACTCGTTCTTCTTAAATGATAGTCCTCCGTAACAACATATTTAATGTGTTTGAAGATGTACTTATAAATAACGCCAACAATGTTCGCTTCTAATCAAAACATCATCATTGATCAACAGTTAAACCACACTGTTCGTTCGAAATCAAAATCATTCATGCTAAAAAAAAAATGCTTTATGTACTTATGAAGATGGTTGTCAGTATTGTATCTAGACTGTCGATTAGAACTCATCCATAACTAGTAAATATGTCAAGTATTGTACACTGGGCAGTGTGAACTGTTTCTATAGTAACACAGTATTAAAATAAATGACATAATAAATGTCCCTATACCCTGAGAAATTTCAACAATTGCTATACATGTATTGTGAGCAGTTGCTATGGCTATAAATGACATAATAGATTTATTTTATTGCCATGTTGGTGTAGACACTGATTAGCTTTACGCTTACTTGTACGGGATTGAACAATAAAACGTAACACGTGGTATATATGGATAAAACTACTTCTCTGTTATTTAATAACACATGGTATATAGAGATAAACATGGTATATATAGATAACTTATGGTATATATGGATATAACTACTTCTCTGTTATTTAATAACAAAGTTTAGTAACACATACCTGTATCTGTCTTGAAATGAAAATGAAATGAAATGGGGTTTAATGTTCTACTGTTCTACTTCAACCGAGCTAAACAAGACGGGTATACGTCATGCAGCGTGCTATCAAGGAAATTGTCCCATACAGCGGTGCTACACACCACTCTAAAATCGAATTGAAACTGTTAAGGGGTCTTTTACATGCACATCAGTGTGTTACCGGGACCTCAGTTTTTGTCCCATTCGATTGATTAGACACTTTATCAGGCCCTCGTTGTTATTGAACAACAAAGAAGTATAGTTAAGTCAATATACATCAGTTTTCATACCATCCGATTTGCAAGACATTTCATTGTCAGGCCCTCGTTGTTATTGAACAACAAAGAAGTAGTTAGGTCCTTATACATGAGCGGGGTTGGATGGCTGAATGGTTAGCGTGCGCGCGCTGTATCATAAAGTCTGTCATTGAGTCGACTGGCGTGGTTTCGAATCCCCGGTTGTACGTGGCAAGGAGTAGGGTCGCCTGTCAAACCTCGTGGGTTTTCACCGGGGCCTCCGGTTTCCTCCACTGCTAAAGACCCCTACGCGCAAGCGACTGTTTGAAATAAAATTAAACCATATGTTAGTCCCGAAATGACCTAGTTTGTGTCGAGTGGAGGTTAAATCCCATCTCTCTCTCTCTCTCTCTCTCTACATGTTTTGAATGTTTATTTCTACAGCTATATTTATATAGGATATTTTGTTATCTGATTTAAAGATCAGTGGATATATTAAAGAGGGGATCACGTGGCTAAGTGGGTAAGACGCTAGCTCGCTAGCCTGGAGGTCGGGTATTCGATTCCTGCATTGGCCGAGAAAGTTCATCCAGATTTTCCGGCGTGGTTCTCCCTTGTCAGTGATGCAGGACGGAGGGGCTGACAAGGAAAGCTGTCTAGTCGTTCGGATGGGACGAAAAACCGAGGTCCCGTGTACACATTGGCGTGCACGTAAAAGATCCCTTGGCAGTTCGAATTCGATATAAGAGTAGGCCGTAGTGCCGCTGTCCGGGCAAAATTTCCCTCATAGCACACTGTATGGCGTATGCCCGTCTTCATTAGCCCAGGTTAGGAGCAGAACAGTAGGACGTTAAACTCCATTTAATTTCATTTCATTTCGATATATTAAAGATACATTATGTAAGATTTAGATAAACAGCTGGTCGTTCTCTCTTTAATAGTTCAAATATAGATAATAAGAAATAAATAAATTGACAAAATCAGTCAAATTACTTTATTTTGAACGAAGTTATGAGTCTTTGAAGTTTTGACAAGATATAACATTTGAAGCCTGGGACCTGTTTCACAAAATTTTAACTAAGATAAAAATCCAAATTTTAGTAATTTGGTTGGATAATATTGGATTGATTTTAGTGCTTAGCCAATCAAAACTGAAGTATCTACTAAAATTTGGTTTTTTTCTTTAGTTAAGATTTTGAGAAACAGGGCTCAGAAGAACGACCGACAAGAGGCAGATTTTAACCCTTACATGTTTATTATCTGAGAGAAAGATTGTTAAACATAATGATATTATTATTATAAAGTGCTGGATATATATATTGCATGCTGACAACATAAATTAATATTTTTAAATGATATTTGTCAAGTATCAGAGTATTATGATTATAGGCCTACAGTAGAATTCTGTGAAAATATGTGAAATGATATTTGTCAAGTATCAGAGTTTTATGATTTTACAGTAGAATTCTGTGAATATCTGTAAAATATGTGAGTGTCATGCATGTTATAACAGATCGTTTAAAAGTTGAATTTTAAATTCATTTATTCTGGGCAGACTGTGTTGAATTGTCTCAATCCCTTGAAAGTTGTCAGTAAACGAGTAGATAAAGGCAGAGTATGCTTACTCATTCTAGAACACCTGATACCACTTGGTATCCTCTAGCCATATGTAGTGATGGGTATCATGTGTGAGGCAGTGTATGCCTACTCTTTTTAAACACCTGATACCACTTATCATTTATTAGACATGTGCAAGTAGCTAGTAATTTTGTTGTTTTATATGAGCTGGCCTTCATTGTAGTTGTACTATGCCATAAATGGGTTGTATGCAACCTATATTTATTAAGACGACTAATTTTAAAACACTTATATGGATATACTACTTCTGAATATATTAACATGCTACGTTTCAATACACATACAGGTATCGTTATCAAGCAAATGTATGTGTATTGAAACGTAGCATGTTAATATAATTCAGAAGTACTAAATAAGTGTTTTAAATCTGTGAAATCTATTTCTATATGTTATAAACATTGTACTTGTACCATGATGAATGGGTTGTAAGCCAACCTATATTTAATACAAAGAAGATTGTATTTGTACCAATGTTAGTTTTATGTTCAAATATTTTATTCTACAACTTGGGTATTGGGTAGGAAGTGTTTTATGTTTAGTTTTAAACCATTGTTGACAAAATTGTTTAAATTCGTTGAGAATGATCAAAGAATATTTGTTTCCTACTGTCTTGTTGTTTAAGATGGACCATCTTTATAATGAATGTTGGGTTTACGATCTCTCCCTAACAACCTAACTATATGATATCCAAGTTGTAATATATGTTACTTGTATACAGTATAATTTTAAACCCTAGAATCTCTTGTTTTGTCCGATTTAGGCAAGAAAGAGGAATTTTAAAAATCCTTGCCAGAAATGGACTAAAGGATATTTATTGAGAAAAGGCAAGTTAAATTTACATGTAAGTCTTACATGTTCAATGTCCTCCATACACATTCAATTTCTTTGTCAATTAATTGACGTTAATTAACTGATGAAAAAATTAAACGTTTATGGGCCGCTTTATTTTAAATTTGCCTTTTTGCCTAAGTCTGACAAAAACGTACATGAAGGTTTTCTGCGGTTTAGAATGAGACTTTATACAATAAATATAGCTGTTGTGTTTATTGTAGGAATTAATTTAAAACATATGGATAGTTTTTTTATTTGATACTGATACGTACAGTAGTAGGTTCAAAGCATTGGCTACTCGTCATATATTTATACACAACCCCACGGAACTAAACAAAATGCTGAATGTTTATTTTGCGCTTTCACTATGACGGCTTGTTTTCATCAATAAAGCTGCTTTAATTCAAACGGAAGTTTTATTGTTTGTTTTGTTGCTATAGTAATAGCTAGTCATGACAATATATGCCCCAACACATGACACAAGTTACTTAATATATTTATTTCTGGCGACCTTTCAACAAGGGTTTTCTTGTCTTTATCAAGAAAATGTCACCTCACCAGAAATCAGTCTTTTATGTCGTAACTTTAGGGAGTTGGATGGCTAAATGGTTAGCACGTGCGCGCTGTATCATAAAGTCTGTCATTGAGTCGACTGGCGTGGTTTCAAATCCCTGGTTGTACGTGACAAGGAGTAAGGTCGCCTGTCCAACCTCGTGGGTTTTCTCCGGGTCCTCCGGTTTCCTCCCACTGCTAAAGACCCCTATGCACAAGTGAATTATTGAAATAAAATTAAACCATATGTTAGTCCTGAAATGACCTAGTTTGTGTCGAGTGGCCGTTAAACCCCATTTCTCTCTCTCTCTTTAAGTAACTTGTATTCCATATATAATTGTGTTATTCTAGCCCAGTTACTAAATGCTACTGAAATATATACCCTGTCATGCGGAACAATTGAAATGAAATGGGGTTTTACATTCTACTTTTCTGCACCGACAGTGCTGATAAAGTTATGCATGTGCCATGAGAGAAATTTCCCCCCTACTCTTCGTGGATCCTTCACGTGCACGCTAACTGCCAAGGGATCCTTTACGTACTTACAAACTGCCTATGGTTATTTTACATGCATGCCAATGGTATTTCGTCAAGCGACTAGACACGCCTCTGGGCCAGGCTGTCCCATCTATCAATAATGATATGGGGCCGGTTGCTCAAAGCTCCGCTATCTTTTAACGATCCGTTAACATGGAGTTAATGGATCGTTAACTTTAACGGAGAGAAAGGTTGTTGGTTGGAAGCCCCGTTAACTTTAACGTGAAGTTAACTCGGCGTTATATTTAACGGAGGTGTTGAGCTCCGTTATCGGTTTAATGATGGCATTAGTTGGCTGTAGCAAAAAGTCATAGATTACCTATGTAATTTTCTATAGAACATTCTAGAGGGTTGGGCGATGCGGGCCTATTCCATTTTCTATAGGGTGAAATTCTATACTATTTTACAGAATTTTGGTGGCCTGTAGGAAAAAATGGCCCCATAATTCTGTAGTGCAAATCCCATAATTTTTCCTACAGATTTATGCTAAAATTTCTAAAGGAAAATATAAAGTATTCTATAGTGTTTTCTGTAGTAAATTCTAGTTATCTTTTCGTCTTTAATCTAGTTTTATGAACAGACTGCACAGTTGTCCCACTTTCTTCAGTTTCTTGTTAATACTAACTTCTATGAAGTTGTTATACATGTACATTGAATTTAAAAATTTAAAATTAACTTTAATGAATCCGTTAGCTAACGGATAATGAAATTGACTTTCCAGCAACAGAAATTTAAACGAGAAGTTACCAAGATAACGATTCGTTAGAGTTTAACGGATCGTTAAAATAACTTAGTTTTGAGCAACCGGCCCCTGGAGAAACCAGAAAAATCCTGAGGAACTTTCTTGACCAACACTAGGATCGAACTCCCAGGACTTCCATCTTCAATAGAAGGCTTGATTTTGCTTTAACTTCGTACATCTTATCAAGCCCTTCATGTAATACCCAGCATATTTCGGCACTAGTTTCGATTGAATACTGACCCAGATGGGTAGTCTGTCAGATTCCTCGATCATCGTGAATACCAAGTCTCGCGCTTTCCAGCTAAAATGTCTACCTGTGATACTGATAAACGAGTTTCAAAGTTCAAGGTTCATTCAATGTCAAGGTTTCCGTGGAGGTCGCCATGTTTGATTTGAGTGTATTTGTGTCACAATCTTTGATTGGATGCTATCGTTCACGTGTTTGCGTTAAAGGGAGACTACGTAGCTATAAGTTCGGGAATTGCAGACTAAGTGTAGCAACATCTAGATGTAAAGCTCGCGAATGTTGCTTCAGGAACATAGAAGACTTCCTACTCAATGAGCCAACCACTTACCCACTGAGCCATGGTTGAGAGGCAAGTGTTCTGCCAATCAATGTGTTGAGTCATATCCAAAATATTTTATAGACTTTAGAGAAATAAAGAGCTCCGTGGAAGAACGATCTAAGTCACTTATTCAACGAACCCCAGTTAATTGCGTCATCTGGTAGCAAATTGTATAAGTTTTCTGTAGAACAATCAATTTCAGGTAAAAACAATCAGAGTCATATCGAACCAGGACCCTACCCTTTATTTGACCTTTATTTGACCTTAATTTGGCTGAAAAGTGGAAGTCAGTTTTTCTACTGGTAATTATGATTCGTATTAAACATCATTTTGAAGTTGTAATTAAACCCACTCGTTGTTCTGTTCGCGTCAAGCATTCTCGTCCAAAAGTTTGTTTTGCCTTTTATGCGAAAAGACAAAAAAATTTGACTTAGATCGTTTTTCCCCCTGGACTCTTCAAATGCCTGTTAAGTATAAATGGGGGTTTGGGTGGCTGAATGGATTAAGCATGGGTTTGATTCCCTGCTAGCACATGACAAGGAGTAGGATCCAACCATAAGTTAGCCCCGAAATGACCTAGTTTGTTGTGTGGAGTGGACTCTCTCTCTAGCTGTCAAGTCGTTTGGATGGGACAAAAAACTGAGGTCCCATGTACACATTGGCGTGCACGTAAAAGATCCCTTGGCAGTTGGAATTCGATATAAGAGTAGGCCTTTGCGCCACTGCCCGGGCAAAATTTCCCTCTGTATGGCATAGGCCTATGCCCGTCTTCATTAGCCCAGGTTAGGAGCAGAACAGTAGGACGTTAAACCCCATTTCATTTCATTTCTCTGTATCTCCATGAGGTACAGAATCAGTTATAATCTTTATAGTTTTACAGTAGGATTAATCTTAGTAACACTGGACTGAGGACCGCGGTTATCTCCATATTAACATTCTTCCAAATTACTTATCTATGTTATTTAAATTTTAAAGATACATTATGGGAGATTCGGTAACGAGTTGGCAGTTCTCGCTATAATAATTAAAAACTAGATAATGTAAAGGCAATTTGGTGAAAATTACATTCAAATTGATCCACGATGAACCGAGAACTAAGCGACTGAAATTCCCATAAGCCTCGGTCATCATTACTAAAGTCAGTACTATAAACAGCATAGTCTTGATTATCCATTTAATCGTTTAATCGAGAAGGAAAGTTATGCAGTAAATCGGCTCACAATCCACTAAAGATTGCAGGCTAGCGCTGCCATCTAGAGTTGATTATGGCCTGAATAAGTTAATTAATGTCTAATTGATAATTTAGATAACATTTCAGGCCTAAAGAAAGACCTGCAATAGACAGATTTAGCTCTTGCATAATGTATGTTTAATACATTTAATTTATATTATTCCGATCAGATCCGGTGTTAATATAAATAAAATAAAACCAAGTAGGAACAATCCAAACCATTAGACAAAATTCGAAGTCCTAAAAAACGGTATATTATTATTATTTATTATTATTTTGGTGTATTTCTATAGCGCACCTTTCACAAAGTGCTCAGATGCGCTTTACAATTCAATAAAATTATAAAATGCAGATAGACAATATGATAGGTCTAGGCAAAATAGTGTAATAAGGCAAAATAGTGTAATTTTTCAAACTTAGCCAAAACAAATTTATTTCAGATTTTTAATAAATACATCATATTTTGTCTTTTGTTCCAATTTCTGAATATTTATTGCAAACTGGACAAAATATTAACATTAAAATTGATTTGCTTGGTCACCGTTACCTTAAAGGAGCTAAGTCGCTAATATTTGGGACCTAGAAATTGACACAAATGGGTCGCAACGCATACAATAATGTAATATGAATGTATATAAATTGATTTACATTCAATCGTTTCTGTTTTTACTGTAATTTCTAATCAGTTAGGTTCAGCGAAATACGCCAGTATTCTCAATAGAATTTCAATCTCTATAGTGTCTGGTTATTCCAGTCTACGCCTATAGTATTTATTGAGCATGCTCTCCAGATAAGAATATGTAGTCACCGTTTGACATGACTTGTGGAATATGCCTAGCCTCGTTTTTCGAGTCCCTTATTACAAATAGCGCTGAAACGCATTATGGTACACGATTCGTGTACCAATTGTAAAATGTTTATTTTGTCTTTAAATATTGGATATCGGAAGGCCATCTTTTCCCGGTAAGATCACAACATCAATGTTGATTTAAACCGACAAATAAATCGTGTTTTCAATGTCGAGGATTTTGGATGATATTGAGTTAGAGACTTAGCTACTTAAATTTAAGCTGTGGGGGGTTGGATGGCTGAATGGTTAGCATGCGCGTGCTGTATCATAAAGTCTGTCATTGAGTAGACTGGTGTGGTTTCGAATCCCCGGTTGTACGTGGCAAGGAGTAGGGTCGCCTGTCCAACCTCGTGGGTTTTCTCCGGGTCGTCCGGTTTCTTCCCACTACTAAAGACCCCTACGCGCAAGCGAATTATGTAAATAAAATTAAACCATATGTTAATCCCGAAATGACCTAGTTTGTGTCGAGTGGACGTTAAACCCCATTTCTCTCTCTCTCTCTCACTTTAAGCTGTATCCAAGTCTGGCAATTAGAATATAGAGTGTGATCCAAAATGAGAATTTATATAATATTGAAGGTAAAAGGTAAAGTACAACTTCCGGTTAATAAATAAGCTAGGGAAAAAAAGTTTTCAGTGACTAAAATCGTTATCAAAGTTTATCAAATCTTTGACACACATTCAAGGTGTACTTTATATACAGAAGGGGTAATAATGGCTCAGACTAACGCAAGTAAAAAGTTGATCAATACTGTGGAGAGGTGTGTTGACGAATGTTTGGAAGGGCTGGTTGCTGTGAATCCCGGTTTGCGTCTGCTGGAAGGGCACCGAGTGGTGGTGAGATCCGATATTGAGGAATTTGTAAAATCTGGAAAAGTGACTTTAGTTTGTGGTGGTGGGTCGGGTCACGAACCCGCTCATGCAGGTATGTAGCTACGAGAACGTAGCTAAAAACGTTGAGATATACTGATGTGTTTGTTTTTAGCTACGATTGGATGCCTTTAGTTCCAAGTGACAAACTCAATTTCTTTATTCATGCATGTAACATCTTTAAAATAAGATAAGTTTATGCTATTATGATTAATTAAACTTACAGAGGCCAATGTAGTGGTACAACTGTCGCCTAACTCCAAATATTCGCGTTTAAATTAATGAAGCGTTGTGTTTGTCTGACGTTCACCGCCATCGAAATCCATTTATAGTTACCACAGAGTAAAGTGCTTTAGATTGCCCTTTTGATTGGCTGTTATAAAAGCCTTATATTTAGCCCCGCTTTTATGATGACAGCGTATCGTTTAAAAAGATGGCAGTCTTAGTATAACGGCTTAACGCCTCAATTTTAAAAACAACGATTTGTTCCCGTTTCAGGTAGGATTATATGCTTAATTGTAGTTGAGTCTGGCAGAAATATTATAAATAACAATAATTAATCGTTGTTTTTATCAAAAATATTGTCAATTTTGTTTACAAATGGCAGGTGCGAATCGCTCCCGCATGTGCTACGTTGAAGTTAATGGCCTCATGTCTTATCTCGAAACACAGAGGGTTGAGAGATTAAGGTTTGTTATCTAGCAGGTATGCACTCTTAATTTATAAACCTTAGAAACCTACCTATTTATTAATACAGTTCAAGGCCAACTCTCACCCCCTTATCACTCAGTACAGCACAGTTTTTAGGTCAAGGCCTTCTCTAGATAACAAACCTCATCTCTCAACCCTCGAAACACAGGCATGTCAGTATATCTCAACGTTTTTAGCTACGTTCTCGTAGCTAGGCCTTCTCGTGGACTTTAGTAGTAGTACATGTGCATGTGTACATATAGTGCAGCCAGGGACCTTATATTATAAGGTCCACGGTGCAACTCATGTCATTATCAGTATATATATAGGCTACTCTATAGTTCAAAATGTCTTTCCATAACCTTATTTCTCTTTGGGGGGATTGGGGTTGGATGGCCGAATGGTAAGCACGTGCGCGCTGTATCATAAGGCCTGTCATTGAGGCAACTGGCGTGGTTTCGAATCCCCGGTTGTATGTGACAAGGAGTAGGGTCGCCTGTCCAACCTCGTGTGTTTTCTCCGGGTCCTCCGGTGGCGTCCCACTGTAAAAAGACCCTTACGCGAATTATTGAAATAAAATTAAACCATATGTTAGTCCCGAAATGACCTAGTTTGTGTCGAGTGGACGTTAAACCCCATTTCCCTCTCTCTCTCTCTCTCTCTCTTTCTCTTTGCTATTTTGAGAATGGCCAGCAAAAACGATTAGAATGATATTCTAAGACAGTGTTTTATGTTGGTTTTCAACTAAAAATCTAATTAAAGATACATTATGGGAGATGCGATAACGAGTTGGCAGTTCTCACTATAATAATTAAAAACTATATAACGTAAAGGCAATTTGCTGAAAATTTCATTCAAATTGATCCACTATGAACCGAGAACTAAGCGAATGAAATTTCTGCCTAGCCTCAGTCATCATTACTAAAGTCAGTACGATAAACAGCATAGTCTCGATTATCCATTTAATCGTTTAATCGAGAAGGAAAGTTATGCAGTAAATCGGCTCACAATCCACTTAAGATCGCAGGGAAGCAATGCCATCTAGAGTTGATTATGGTCTGGATAAGTTAATTAATGTCTAATTAATAATTTAGATAACATTTCAGGCCTAAAGAAAGACCTGCAGTAGACAGATTTAGCTCTTGCATAATGTATGTTTAAGATCGTTAAGATTAAGTCTGATTTATTTGTTGTTAGCTGCGATTGGAGCCTTATAGTTTCTCCTTGCAAACAATTTTTTTTTTATCATTTTCCCTACACTATAAGCTAAAAATAAAATAAATCCCTGTAATGTTTTCCAATTATCATAAATTAATCCATATATCCCAAAAGAAAACATATCCAGTTCAATGTAGCGACTACAATATTATCTGGCCATTTATAAGTTAATCAGAGTTTTTCGCTGACTTGATTGCGGATGTTCATTCATGTCTATTTTCTGTCTTGTTCGCAGGTTTATCTTGTAGATTTTTGTTTTGCATGTAGTGGGGTTCTCCTGCACTTACTAATAGAACATTACATTGCATTGTTCATGCACCAACCACAGTCTTTGATTGTGTAATGTTTTGATTTGAAATGAAAATGTCTACCTGGCAAAAGTTTAATCACTTTGATTGAGAGAGAGAGAGAGAAATGGGGTTTAACGTCCACTCAACACAAACTAGGTCATTTCGGGACTAACACATGGTTCAATTTTATTTCAATAATTCGCTTGCAATCAGGGGTCTTTAGCAGTGGGAGGAAACCGGAGGACCCAGAGAAAACCCACATGGTTGGGCAGGCAACCCTACTCCTTGTCCACTTTGATTGAAGAAAAGAGATGATTTGCACCTGTGTCATGTATGACTATGTGGTTTCTCTCATAGGTAATTAATGATCCTGATACATATGTTAGTCCCAAAATAACCTGTGTTAAGTGGAGGTTAAGCTCTCACTCCATGGCATCGCAACTCAGAACAGACTAATTTCAGTGCCGAGCTCAATTTAACTGATCGTCATATCACAGGGATGGCCAAATTTTATTGCGTGTGCGCTGTATCATAAGGCTGGTCATTGAGTCAACTGCCGTGGTTTCCGGTTGTATGTGACAAGGAGTAGGGTCACCTGTCCAACCTCGTTGGTTTTCTCTTGGTCCTCCGTTTTCCTCCCACTGCTAAAGACCCCAACGCGCAAGCAAATTATAGAAATAAAATTGAACCATATGTTAGTCCCGAAATGACCTAGTTTATGTCGAGTGGACGTTAAACCCCATTTCTCTGTCTCTGATCGTCATACTTTTTTTACAAGCCTTGTCTTCTATTTTTACAAGCCTTGTCTTCTATTTTTAGGGTATGTTGGACCGGGAATGTTGTCGGCTGCTGTTGCTGGAGCCGTGTTCACTTCACCCCCACCCCACAGTATTCTAGCTGCCATACGAACTGTAGGAAAAAACAATCAAGGTAAATGAATGATATATATTTTTACATTACAAACTTTGAGATTGATCCATCGAGTGTGGGGGGGTTGGGTGACCGAATGGTTAGCATGTACGTTGTTTCGATTCCCCAGTTGTACGTGACAAGGAGTTGGGTCGCCTGTCCAATGAATAGGACAACACCATTACATTTTCAATCTTATTGAATAAGATGCTGGCTCGTTAACCTAGAGGTCTCATGTTCAATCCCGGTGTTGGCCAGTAAATTAAAAAACATTCCTCAAAATTCATTACCCTAGTAGGAGAAGAAAAGTAAAATGTTTAACCCATTTCAATTCCCATCTCAAAGTTGCACTTACTGACTTATGTACTCATATTTGATCAAGGGGGAGTTGGATGGCCGAATGGTTAGCATACTGTATCATAAGACCTGTCATTGAGTCAACTGGCGTGGTTTCGAATCCCCGGTTGTACGTGACAAGGAGTAGGGTCGCCTGTCCAAACTCGTGGGTTTTTTCCAGGTCCTCCGGTTCCTCCCTCTGCTAAAGACCCCTACGCGGAGCAAATTATTGAAATAAAATTAAACCATATGTTAGTCCCGAAATGACCTAGTTTGTGTTGAGTGGAGGTTAAACCCATCTCTCTCTCTCACTCTCTCTCTCTCTCTCTCTCTCTCTCTCTCTCTCTCATATTTGATAAGTTTATTCTATGAACCTGTATGTACTACAATATTTGAAATGGGGCCTTGAATACTAATTTGACTATTCAGATATTTTAATTGATTATTTGAATATTCAGTTCAATTAAAATCCGGATATAGTTGACATTGAATAACAAATAGTAAGAAACCACTATGGACAGCCATTGAATAACTATTCATATTCAAATATTTGTGAGGAATAATACAAAAAAAACATTGGTATGTACGTAAAAGAACCCTTGACAGTTGGAATTCAAGACAAAAGGAGGCATTGGCACTGCTGTCAAGGCAACATATCCCTCATAGCACACAACATGGCATAATGCCTGACTTGATTAGCCCTGTCAGAGAAGAACAGTAGGATATTTAACCCATTTCATTGTTTTAAAGCTGGAGTGCTGGTAATTATCAAGAATTATACCGGAGATAGACTTAACTTTGGTTTGGCTGTAGAGCGAGCGAAAGCTGAAGGTATAAAAGTTGATATGGTTGTTGTTGGTGAAGATTGTGCTCTCACTTCCACGGATAAAACAGCTGGAAGACGAGGACTGTGTGGAACAGTTTTTATACATAAGGTGGGTTTACAGAGAGAGGAGAGGGTGGGTTTCAGATAGAGGAGAGGGTGGGTTTACAGAGACGGGAGAGGGTGGGTTTACGGAGATAGGAGAGGGTAGGTTTCAGATAGAGGAGAGGGTGGGTTTACAGATAGAGGAGAGGGTGGGTTTACAGAGATGGGAGAGGGTGGGTTTACGGAGATAGGAGAGGGTGGGTTTACAGATAGAGGAGAGGGTGGGTTTACAGAGACGGGAGAGGGGGAGACACAGACTGTGTGGGTTTACAGAGAGCGGAGAGGGGGAGACACGGACTGTGTGGGTTTACAGAGAGAGGAGAGGGTGGGTTTACAGAGAGAGGAGAGGGTGGGTTTACAGAGACGGGAGAGGGTGGGTTTACAGAGAGAGGAGAGGGTGGGTTTACAGATAGAGGAGAGGGTGGGTTTACAGAGACGGGAGAGGGGGAGACACAGACTGTGTGGGTTTACAGAGAGCGGAGAGGGGGAGACACGGACTGTGTGGGTTTACAGAGAGCGGAGAGGGGGAGACACGGACTGTGTGGGTTTACAGAGAGAGGAGAAGGGGAGACAAGGAAGGACTGGGTGGGTTTACATAGAGGGGGAGGGGGGGACAAATATTGGGTGGGTTTACAGAGGGAGAGGAGAGGGGGAGACAGGGGCTGTGGACGTTTTTTTATACATAAGAGGAGTTTAAATTACAGAGAGAGAGGGAGAGGACTAATATCTTGTTTAGCTTTATTTTAATTCATGCACAGGTGACCCTACGACTACTGGATCATTTGTGTTGTCCCATTTGACAGATGGGTTGAATGCGGGTTTTTATTTCAATACTATCCATCTCATCTTTATTTCATGAAACGCACGCCACATTTCATTTAATATCCCTCTATGATGCTTCCTCATTCTAGAACACCCGATACCACTTAAAGATGTTCTTGTTTTATTTATCTATAGATAGCAGGTAGTTTAGCTGAAGAAGGTCGAAGTTTAGAAGAAATTGCTGTGATAGTGAAAGATGCTGTTGATAGTATGGGTAAGAGTTGTACAAGACAGATATGAAGAGGCCCATCAAAGAATTTTACTGGATTTTGACCATATCTCATTTAAATCGTCTGTAGAGGCAGCTGAATTTTAACATATTTTCAGTTCCTCACATCATTGAAAATTCTGAACCGAATTGAACCATTTTGGATTAATATTTCTTTTGGAGATTCAATTTCACTCTATTTTTTTACCAAAACATTATTTTTAACGAAAGTACTTGAGATTGTATATGGTCTTAAACTCTATATTCTGCCATGTTGAAGCTTTAATACTTTAACTTATATTGTAAACACCTATCTCAAATGTCTTTTACTGCCTCTAGGTAACAAAGTTGCTATTGGGCCAATGTGAGGTTGCCTGGCAACACATGTTATATATAGATTTTATTTGATTATTTCCAGGAACAATTGGTTTAAGTCTGGCACCATGCAGTGTTCCTGGTTCCGGTCCGTCGTTTAAACTAGAACAGGATGAAATGGAACTTGGATTAGGTATGGAGTAGCAGGATAAAACATGCAATACAGTAGAAATGATATAATTACATCCACTCAACACAAACTAGGTCATTTTGGGACTAACATATGGTCTTTAGCAGTGGGAGGAGGACCTGGAGGATCCGGAGAAAACCATGAGGTTGGACAGGTGACCCTACTCCTTGTCACGTACACCCGGGGAATCAAAACCAAGCCAGTTGACTCAATGACAGATCTTATGATACAACGTGCACGCACTAACCATTCAGCCATGCAACCCCCCCGCATTCCTAGAGTTTATAGAATACAGGAGAACTGTACTACAACACACAGGACAGAACAAACAATACTTGAGAGACTCTACAATTGCATAAACATTCTCAGAGAAGAAATATGTGCCCATTTTTATTTAACTTGTGGGAATTATTGGTCTTACTGTAATATGATACATCCTGACTATTATTACTTTTTATTTGACAGGTATCCATGGTGAAGCAGGAGTAAAGAGATTGAAGGTAATAAAGATATAAAAACATAGTTAACCAACAAAGTGTTTCGGTGTCATTTGATCAGTGAAAATAGTTTTATATACAGTGTGAAAGTCCTGACTAGATAAGTGTCACCTAGTATCACTGGCCGTATTCTGGTTTTTCCTGATTAGATAGTCACATCTACCCCCGTAGTGCAACAAATGATTATCTCAACAAGTTTCTACTATATATCACCGTCTAGAAATCCTTGCCGACTGATTGGTCAGTGAGAAACGTAGTGTATATTTTTGTATTTATATTTACAGCTAACTAACGTACAGACGGCTATATCCACCATGTTGGATCACATGACTAACCAGGCAACTAAAACACATCTGGAACTAGCGAAAGGTAATTCACATCCAGTTGATAAATAAAATACATAAAATATTTGGACTACCAAGAAAATTAAAACATTCATTCTTGACTGAAACTTTATTATTATTATCATTTCAAAAATAGGCCCTCCTTCTCTTCGTCTATCTCTGTAATGTTACAATATTGATAGGAGGTATATCCTCTATCTTAACAGATATTGGTTTTAGGTGAATACAGGAATAGATATTGGAAACATTATCTGCTTTGTTTAATTGCAATGTTAGGACATGTAGGAGTATAATTATTGTTTTAAGATAAATTGAGAATAACAGAAACCTATGACACTTTGATACATGGAATGTTCCATAGGTTGATAAACATGATGTTTTCATGGGTTAAAATTATATCATGCCGTCACTTGTGTTGGAAAATTCGTATTGCAATCATATAAGTAATTGCACAGATCTGAGCGTGATAGACTTAAAGGCCAATAACAAAATGGGTCCTATAAAAGAGACCCTGCTGGGCCATTAAGATCAGATATCATTGGGTTCCGGGGAGATACCATCTAAGTTCCGGAGAGATGACCATCTGAGTTCCTAGAGACTGCCACTAAAGGACAATATTGGTGCCAGTCATTATCACATATGTGATAGAGCTGGTTAAACACATTCCAAATATCGTAGCAATGATCTCTGTGTTAAAATTATATTTGGAATGTGTTAACCAGCTCTATCACATATGTGATAATGACTGGCACCAATATTGTCCTTTAAATTCTCAGAGAGAGATGTAGCGGTTTCCTGAGTCTAGGCATGCTGGTTAGACTTTTACAGGAGTTTGGGTTGAGAGAAAGATGTTAATTTCAAGTATGCTAATGTAATCTGTTATGCATTGTAACCATATGTATCCATCTTGACATCAAAATGTAGGGTGGTTGGATGGCCGAATGATTAGCGCGTGTGCATTGTATCATAAAGTCTGTCATTGAGTCAACTGGCAGGGTTTCGAATCCCCGGTCGTACGTGACAAGGAGTAGGGTCGCCTGTCCAACCTCATTGGTTTCCTCCGGGTCCTCTGGTTTCCTCCCACTGCTAAAGACTCCTACTTGCAAACGAATTATAGAAATAAAATTGAACCATGTGTTTGTTTGTATCGAGTGGACGTTAAACCCCATTTCTCTCTCTTTCACATAAAAATGTAGAACCTAACTGTTGCATTGTTATTCCTGGTAAGACAAATGTCTTAACTACTGCGATGGTAAGAAGAATATACACAACGTGAATCCTAGCCAAAAGTAGAGAATTACAAATATAACGAGAAACAATAATAGACGATCACGAGGCCAACAAGATCTTTTTCAGACATGTCGGACATCGGATGTGGTAAGCGTTTCCATGGTTTGTGCTTTCCATGTCAGACCCACGACGTATATTGCTACAGTAAGTCTTATCATATTTCGCCATAAATCATTTGTGATATTTTCCTACAATTACATGAACCAATTGTAATTTCCTGTATTCAGGTGATGCTGTAGGTGTAATAGTCAATAATCTAGGAGGGACGTCCATTTTGGAATTAAATATTGCAGCTAAAGAAGCCATTTCATATTTAGGTAAGTTGCTTAGTAATAGCCTACTTTTCACCATCAACCGGTTTCATTAAGGCATGCATACACCAGTATGAGAGTTCATTAAGGCATACATACACCACTATGAACAGGGGACTCAACGAACAGGGCTAGACATATTCCACAAGTCATGTCAAATATAGACGCTCTGGAGAGCATGCGCAATAAATACCACCGGTGTAGACTGGAAAAACCAGACGCTAAAGATTGCCATCCGCATGAGCCTTCTGGCGTATTTCGCTGAACATATCTGATTAGAAATTACAGTAAAAACAGAAAGGATTGAATGTAAATCAGTTTATATACATTCATATCACATTATTATATGCGTTGTGACCCATTTTTGTCAATTTCTAGGTCCCAAATATTAGTAATTTAACTCCTTTAAGTTGATTTATATGTAATTTATGTTAAATATTTCAGAAAATAAAGGATTAACTGTAGACAGGGTATACTGTGGTAGTTTCATGACAGCGTTAGAAATGGCTGGAATTTCTCTAACAGTTTTAAAACTTAATGAAGTTTTACGTGATTGTTTGGGTAAGTCTGGTATGATTCATATTGATGTGTTTCAAACATACAGTGTGCTATGAAGGAAATTTTTCCCAGACAGCGGCACTACAGCCTACTTTTATATCAAATTCCAACTGTCAAGGGATCTTTTACATGCACCAATGTGTACACGGTACCTCAGTTTTTCATCCCATCCAAACGACTAGACAGCTGTCCTTGTCAGGCCCTCCGTCCTGCATCAATGACAAGGGGGAACCACGCCGTAATGCAAATAAGATTACATTACCATGAGACTAACATGATGAAAATACTATTATTATGAACATATTGCGTTACCATGAAACAAACAGATTAGCAATACCATTATTACAGTATAATTATATATTTCAGATTCACCGACAGTAGCTCCAGGTTGGAGTAAACCAATGTTACCTAAAGGTCAAAGGTTACGAGCCACACCCATTCCTTTAAAAACTACCGAGTCTAGCCATGGAGATAAAATCGATGTATCGGTGGAAGAAACGGTAGATAAAGGTAAAAATATTAATGCAGAATTTTTTTGAAAATGATTAAATCTTGTTAGATAGTTTAATTTTTTTTTAATATCCAGCCAGCATATACTGCCAAAACAACATAAATGGGATAGACTAATCATGTTTGACGGAATAAAAACTCCATGACTCTTTCTCTCTGTTTCTTCTTGATTTATCTTCATGTTTGGATATTAAGGTTTTTAGACCCCTAATCATAGAAATAAAATAGAACCAAATGTTAGTCCCGAAATGAACTATCTTGTGGCGAGTAGACGTACAACTCTGTCTCTCTGGTTGAGTCATCATGTGTAGATATTATGTATGATTTTATATTTGATTATGGTTGTTTATATTTGAACAGATTATGGTTGTTTATATTTAAACAGATTTTGGTTGTTTATATTTGAACAGATTACAATTGTTTATATTTGAATGCAGTTGTTTATATTTGAATGCAGTTGTTTATATTTGAACATATTGCAATTGTTTATATCTAAACAGATTATGATTGTTTATATTTAAACAGAAAATGGTTGTTTATATCTAAACAGATTACGGTTGTTTATATTAAAACAGATTACGGTTGTTTATATTTAAACAGATTATGGTTGTTTATATCTAAACAGATTACGGTTGTTTATGATTGTTTATATTTGATTATGATTGTTTATATTTAAACAGATTATGGTAATCTGCTGTTTGATATAATACAGAATGTATGTAAGAGTTTAATATCATCTGAGAACAGATTAAATATGTTAGATACCCAGGCTGGGGACGGAGATTGTGGTACAACTGTTACTAGAGGAGCTCAAGGTAATTATTTCACCATTGGTGAGAGGTTGGGTTGTCAAATCGTCTAACCCATATGGGGTTGGGTTGTCAAATCGTCTAACCCATATGAGGTTGGGTTGTCAAATCGTCTAACCCATATGGGGTTGGGTTGTCAAATTGTCTAACCCATATGGGGTTGGGTCGGCAAATCGTCTAACATGCGGGCTGTAGATTATAATGTCTGTCATTCATTCCCAGCTGGTACGTGACAAGGAGTAGGGTCGCCTTTTCAACTTTATGGGTTTTCTGCGGTTTTCTCCCACTGTTGATCAACCTCTACGCACAAGCGAATTATTTAAATAAAATTTGAACCATATTTGGATGGTTAGCGTGGCACTTTGTATCATTAGGTCTGTCATTGAGTCAACTGGCGCGGTTTCGATTCCCCGGTTGTACGTGACAAGGAGTAGGGTCACCTGTCCAACTTTGTGGGTTTTCTTTGGGTCCTCTGGTTTCCTCCCACTGCTGAAGACCCCCAAGCACAAGCGAATTATTGAAATAAAATTGAAAGACGTTTATGTCGAGTGGATGTTTAACCCCATCTCTCTCTCTCTCTCTCTCTCTCTCTCTCTCTCTCTGTATATATGTAATTTATCAGTTCTTCACAGTCCTATAATGATTTTCTTTTGTCTGAATTCAATTTTAGCTATATTAAAAAAGTTAGGTGATAAGAGTAGTCCTGGACTTCCAGTAACTAATCCGTACAGTTTAACGCTGGCCCTGGCTACGATTGTCGAGACTGATATGGGTGGATCATCTGGAGCAGTAAGTAGACTTATTATTTTTAATTAAAAGTTTTTCTTTTAAACTGATCAAAAGTTCAGAATTGATGTAGCCCCAATCTAATTAAAATACAGATCTATATTTCGTTTCGTTTTTTTTATTCTTTTGATGGCCTACATTACATGAAGTGGAAGGTCGCGTCAGAGGTCATACAAGCGGTTTTTGACTGTATGACATCAAACATAATGATTAACCAATCAGCGTTGATGTTTCAAGTGGGTTGCCCACAGTTCTGTGCACCTCACGCCAAAAACTCGCTGTAACAGACTGTTTTATTGGCTAATTCTCTCACATCATCCGGGTTATATAACAACTCTTCCAGATCCTAGTGTAGTAAAGACAAATAGAACCAAATTTTGAACTGTATGAAATGAAACAAAATAGGATCTGTGTTTTAATAAGATTGATGTAGCAATAGGCCTGTCATAGTCCAGAATCTAGAGTTGATGTGGCGGGTCCAGTTTTATTCCATTCAATTGTTCATCTTATAGAGAAAAAAATGGAGTTTGATGTCCACTCAACACAACTATGTCATTTCGGGACTAACATATGTGTCAATTTTATTACAATAAATCGTGTGCGTGACTGTGGGTAGGGGTGTTGCAGTGTTTGGAGGACCCAGATTATTGCTTGCGTGTCTTTACCTATTGGAGGAAACCCATAGAAAACCCCATGAGATTGGACAGACAACCCTACTCCTTGTCACGTACAAGTAGAGAACCAAAGCAATGTCACTTGACTCAATAAAAGACATTCGGCTAAACCCCACCCAAACCAACCATTTTAAAATACCTATCCTAAACTGTTAAATGGAGTTATAGCCCCTTGAATAATTGAGTCATTTTTGAGAATGACTGGTTGAAGGGTTTTTAATGCCACTAATAGACTCTGTCAAATCGATTTTGTCAATTGGAATTATTTTAGAATTTAAATAATTTTTGGACCAAAAGTACTTTGAGTTGGGCCTTTAAAATGGTGATAGCGTGCCAGAATAAATTCTAAATACAATCTTATTAAAACACAGATCCTATTTCGTTTCGTTTTTTATAGTTCAAAATTTCGTTTTACTAGGATCTGGAAGAGTTGTTATATAGTAGCCAATGAAACAGTCTGTTATGGCGAATTCTTGGGGAGCTCTGCACGGAACTGTGGGTAAACCCCTTAGAAACGGCAACACTGATTGATTAATCAATGTCTGACATTAAAGGGTCAAAAGCCGCTCGTATGAGCCCTGACATGACCTATCGCTACAACTTGACAGATCTTCATGTAGTGTAGGCCGTCGAAAGTATAAAAAAACGAAACAAAATATAGATCTGTATTATAATCAGATTGATTCTAAATATAGAATGATTTATTTGTTGTATTTCAGTTGTATAGTTTATTTCTAACCTCAGCAGCTCTGTGTTTACAGTCTAAAATATCCTCATCGTCATGGATACAAGCGTTAAATAACGGTATAACCGCCATACAGAGGTAAATAAAACTTAACATCTCAAACTAACACTTTGTGCTAAACATTAAAAATATTAATAAAAGCATACACTAGAATAGCTCTGACGGACAAAGTCTGACCACACTATTATTACAGACGTGGAAATTCTTAACTGAGTTATACCAGAAAAAATGTCATGGCTATACGTACACTGTTGAATCTGACGTTCTGAACTCTGTGCTAAACGCTTATTCAAAGTTTCATTAAAACCGCTGTCAATTGGCTACCTGTAATCTGAGCTGGAAACTAGCTGTGTCTGACAGTGTACGTGAACAGGTGTCTGTGATTGTCTGTGACCTGATGCTTTATTTCTAGGCCTGTTTCGTGTAGTTTGCTGAAGGATGAACTGTGAATCAGTGAATCCTCTACTGGTGATTTAAATCTAACTTGTTTATAGCCATGTTATAAAATCAACACCTGTTATTGATAGTGTTTATATATTTGTATATATTTTATTGTAGATATGGTGGAGCAGAGCCAGGAGACAGGACAATGGTATGTCTTACTTTATAAGGTTGGGGGGGGGGGGGATGGCCGAATGGTTAGCACGTGCGCGCAGTATCATAAGGCCTGTCATTGAGTCAACTGGCGTGGTTTCGAATCCCTGGTTGTACGTGACAAGGAGTAGGGTCGCCTGTCCAACCTTGTGGGTTTTCTCCGGGTCCTCCAGTTTCTTCCCACTACTAAAGACCCCTACGCGCAAGCAAATTATTGAAATATAATTAAAACCATATGTTTATCCCGAAATGACCAAGTTTGTGTCGAGTGGATGTTAAACCCCATCTCTCTCTCTCTCTCTCTCTCTCTCTCTCTCTCTACTTTATAAGGGCACAAGGGGCAGAGTTTGGGGGTAATTTTCAAACCTAGTCATCCTGATGGGACAAAAAACACCTGTATACTGTATACTGAACCTTGATAGATGGAATTCAATAAAGGCCACTGTCAAGGCAAAATTCTCCTCTCTAGCATTGCACACATGAACATAGAAAAAAATGATGTTGTCTCAAATACTCAAAGTATTGTGTTAAGGAGTCCTGCCCCTATTAGATCCCAGGGCAAGTCCATTTCCTTCTTTTTAGGGATAATAATGGTACAAGAGATGACATGGAAAGTATATCTAGTCTTTCGGATGGGACGACAAAATGACCTATGAGTCTGATCCAGTTTCGGTCATTTTCCAGAGCTCTCGGTCCCGACCGGCACATACGGCCGACATGGAAGCCGTGTCGACAACTGTGGTTCCCCCCATATACACATTGGCATGCTCATAAGCGAACTCTTGAAAAAAAGATCATGTTTTTCTTTGAAATCGCACAGTGAAAGGAGAGGTTAATAAAGCTATTTCACACCCAAAGTCAGTTGTCAGGGAAACTGCTCCCTAGCATTGTACACATAGTAATAGGCCACTGTAAAATAAACCCAAAACTTTCTGGACTGATAAAATGAATTTATTTATTTCAAGCTTGATGCCTTATATGGTGCTAGTGAAGTTTTAAATGATAAAAATCGAAGCAGTTTATCGAATGTAGAATTGTTAAGACAAGCTGTTCAGGTAAGCAATGACAAGACTTTCTGGGGAGAAATGTCAAACTTTCTGTTGAGAAATAACACGACTTTCTGGTGAGAACAGAAATGACTCTCTGGTGAGAAATGACAAGACCCTCTGGTGAGAAATGATAGACCCTCTGGTGAGAAATGATAAGATTCTCTGGTGAGAAATGACAAGACTCTCTGGTGAGAAATGAACAAAGACAGGACTTTCTGGTGAGCAATGACAAGTCTTTCTCGTGCACAATGACAGGACTTTATGCTGAGCAATGACAGGACTTTCTAAAGAAGACTTTACAGTGAGAAATGGCTATTAGTTACAAGACTTTATGTTTTTATGTTTACAGCTAGTAACATCTGGTAGCAGCAGCTTTTTGATAGACAAATCTAGAATTAACATTCTTGTATAGAGTTTAAATTGAACTTGTTATAGGCTAACTATTTCATCTGATTTCAGGCTGCTGAGAAAGGAGCAGAAGATACAGCCAAGATGGCAGCTAAAGCAGGACGAGCAAGTTACGTTAATCCTGATAATTTGACGCAACCTGATCCTGGTGCTACAGCTGTAGCCGTCTGGTTTAAGGCTATTCTAGATCAGCTGGTCTGATATATTCCACGTCTGACCATTACCATATATAAAACAGTATTATTGGTATATGTTTCTCGAAGAATTTATAATTCTGTTATGATTAGACGGCAATTTATTGACAGAAAAACTGATTATTTCGACCAAGGCTGTAGATCTTGGTCTTTATCTACTTTTTACATGTTGATGCTAAATACTTCTCTAAATTCCAGAAGTATGCTTAATGTTTTTTTCGGCTAAAATCGTTGATTTGTTAATTAAAATGTCGGTCAACCAGCTCTTCTCACCCGTAACTAATTGTAGACAGAAAGTGTCGGGGTAAAATGGAGCATGTCCATCATAATTAGGACGTTAAATTTCATTTTATTAGAATAAAATATATAACACCTGTAACCACCCCAGTTCTTTAGTATACAACATAATATAATCTTTAATCCGTGGTCTTTATCCTTGTCAACTTCTACCTTAATCCGTTGTCTAGACTCTGGTCAGTATCAACTTATATTTTAATCCAGTGATTCTCAACGAGTGTACCGTGAGATCTTCGTAAAACGTCTGCAAAATTTTGAACTGCACACTAAGAAAATGTTAAAAAAAGCCATGTGATCCCAATTGAGTATTCACTGGTGTCTACTGATAAGTTCATGGCTGTGTTTTTCTTTATTTAGTTTGAGTCATTCTGTGTGTCTATGACTAGTCTCTGATTATGGTTGTATGCCGTCTATGACTTGACATGTTTTTATTTTGCAAATTCAAATAGATTTCATATACATTTAGCCAGGTGTGCCGCTATTTTGTCGTGTTCCAAGGTGTGCCGTTAGCAAAAAAAACGTCTGCTTTAATCAGTGGTCTAGACCCTAGTCCCTGTCAACTTATACTTTTGTTGATTTAACAAATTTAAGGAAATATTACAGTTTTTATTTTTGTTATTTTTGTTAAATTTAATAATTTATTGATTGTCAACTGAATTTAATAAAAGATATATATATATATATATATATATATTTGGTTTCTTAGTTGTCATGTACGTTTGCTTATCGAACGGGTCCAAGTGAAATATGGTATGGCTGTGATCCACCAAACATTCCTTGGTGATGCCTTGGTGAAATCAATAATTACTATAAATGTTTACACACGCCCTTTTCCGAAAACCTTGTGAACGTGGTAAAGGCTATATTTACAGATCTTTGAAAAATTTGGTGACAAACATTGGGTTCATGAGAAGACGAACCCTTTCGATATTCAACTATTCAACGTTGCATCCTTTTTGCCGAAAGGGGTTTGGATGACCGAATGGTTAGCGCACGTTGTATCATAAGGTCTACTGGCGTGGTTTCGATTCCCCGGTTGTACGTCGCCTGTCCAACCTCGTGGATTTTTTCGGATTTCCTCCCACTGACAAAAACCTCTACGCGCAAGCGAATTAGTTAGAAATAATAATAATGAACTTGAACTTTTATTACAGGCAAAGCAAAATGTTTCTGGAGAGAGAGATAGGGAGAGATAGAGAGAGATGGGGTATAACGTCCAGTACTCGACACCAAATAGGTCATCTCGGGACTAACATGGTTCAATTTTATTTCCATAATTCGCTTGCGCGTAGGGATCTTTAATTAGCAGTGGGAGGAAACCGGAGGACCCGGAAAGAAAACCCACGAGGTTGGACAGGCGATCCTACTCCAGTTGACTCAATGACAGACTTTATGATACAACGCACACGTGCTAACCATTCACCCCCCCCCCCTCCCCCGTCTGCGTTATTAATTGCATGGTTATATTATCTCAATCATGATGATCAGCGTCCACATCTCAAACGCCGATAACCTTTATTGTTCAATAAATTACGGGCATTAAAATCTAGCCTCAAAGGAACTACTTCAGTGGGAGAATCACTCGGCAAACTTCAGCAGATCCCAGTACCCCACACCTAGCTTCGGCTGTATGACGAAGTCTGCCATTCGAACTACTTTCAAGTTCCCGGATTACCAACGGCGTTGCCCATGCCGACGCCTTTGAAGAATGTTTTATCATACAAATCTGTCTGAATCTGTTTTTCTTTCAAGTTTATCCTATTATCCAACTTTGCACTAAATATTCTACACACACTTCGAACGACGCAATTTTGAGAACTTCTTTTTAAAAGCGGCAAGTTTTCCTAATAAGTAAACCGGTACAACGTCGCAATTGTATTGGTGTAGGTACATATCACTTACCGTCATACAGCCGAGTCTAGATGTGGAGTACCGAAATCTATCGAGGTTTGCCGAGTGTTGGAGAATCGGATCAGTGAGTAAAACATGAGCTGGCGTCGGCCCAGTAAATTCATAAGATTTTCCGGCCTGACCCCCCCCCCATTATCAGTGGTACAGGGCGTAGGGCCTGGTAAGGAAATATGTATAGTCGTTCGGATGGGACGAAAAATCGAGGTGAAGTGTAGACATTGGCATGCAATGCAACTGGCGGTTGGAATTTGAAATAAGAGTAGTAGTGCCGCTATCCGGGCAAATTTTCCCTTATAGCACACTGTATGACATATCCCGTCTTTATTAGCCCAGTTCGGAGCAGAACATGTACAATAGGGTGTTAAACCACATTTCATTTATTTTAACACATTTAGCAATATTGTAGTATGATGACAGAATCCATATTCAGAGAGAGAAGGGGGGTTATCGTAGCTCATTGCGGGATTAAAAGGTGCTATATTATTTTTCAGGGGTCTTTAGCATTGAGAGGAAACTGGGGGGCCCGAGAAAATTCACGAGGTTAGGTAGGCAATCCTACTCCTTGTCACGTACACGCAAGGAATCGAAACCATGCTGCTTGACGATAACCGACCTTATGGTTTAAAGGACGCGGACTACCCCTTCAAACGACAAACGTCACGATCTCTAGCACACGTGCTAGATCACTCGGTCATTCCCCTTTCATAACATAATAGTGGAGATATTTACAAGATAATGAAATGAAATGAAATGTGGTTTAACGTCCTACTGTTCTGCTCCTATACTGGGCTAATGAAGACGGGCATACGCCATACAGTGTGCCTATGAGGGAAATTTTGCCGGGCAGCGGCACTACGGCCTACTCTTGTATCGAATTCCAACTGCCAAAGGATCTTTTACGTGCACACGAATGTGTACACGGGACCTCGGTTTTTCGTTCCATTCGAACGACTAGACAGCTGTCCTTGTCAGGCCCTCCATCCTGCATAACTGACAATGGGAAACCACGCTGGAAAATCTGGATGAACTTTCTCGGCCAATCCACGTATCGAACACCCGACCTCCAGGCTAGCGAGCCAGCGTCTTACCCACTTAGCCACGTGACCCCCCTTTACAAGATATGATAAATAAATAAAAAATAATCATCATAAAAAATATATTTAATTTAATTGATTTGTCTATAAATATATTTAAATCATAGAAGTTTTGAATTACTAAATTTTCTATTTTTAAATATATCCAGCTAAATATAATAGACTATGATATAAGTCATTTATTGGTAAATGTTCTATTTTTAAATACATCCAACTAAAATAAAATTGACTATTGTTGATAAATCATACAAGTTAGGAATTAGTAAATTTTCTATTTTTAAAATTGACTATTATTTTATATTATAAAAGTTACAATTGTGAATAAATTTCGTTCCTAATTCATCTAAATATAATTTTATATTAAACAGCCAAGTTTCATTGTCTCTGTGAGTTTACCATCTAGTTGGTGACGTATATTCTGGTGCCATTACCATGTTTACCATTGACTCCCTTTAGCCCATCTGTTTGGTGGTGGTATTGGGAGACAGAAAGCCAGAAGATTACAGGCGAAGTCTGGTTGGTAAGTCTGGGCCACGTATCCAAAAACATATTCAGCAATCATAGTGCCCATAGAGACACAGACTTCCTTACCAACTAGAACATATCCACAAAGTTTGTCGGCGACTGCAGCAGCGAATTCTGGAGTGCCCAAAACAGTCTTGATATCTCCTAAAAACTTTTTACAATCGGCACAAGTTTTATCCTCTGAGATCTGACCAGTGGCATTGACGATCATTCTGAGTACCTCGGTTGCTTCCTTTGATAAAACAATTTCCTGTGGTTGATAATTGAATCCCTGGACTGAAGCCAGACCAATCAACACTAGAATTATCAATGGTGCCATGTTGCTTTCTGTTGATATTCTGTAGAGTTGTGATGCTGTCTAAATGTTTCTGTGGTCTGTAAAATTCTGTTTCTGTATTTATACTATCACCAAGGAAACATCTGGTCAAGAGACAACCATTTCAATTATTATAACTCATTATAATATTATAATTATAATAATCTTTTAATTTTAATTAAAAGAAATTAAATTGACTATTAATTTAAAGGACATCACCCCCACTACTAAAGAGCCTTACGCAAGCGAATTATTGAAATAAAATTGAACCATGTGTTACCACCGAAATGACCTACTCTCTCTCTCTCTCTCTCTCTCTCTCTCTCTCTCTCTCTCTCCATTAATTAATATGTAAATTACATTGACCATTAATTTGAAGGACATAACCCTAATGGCTCTGTTGTATTGAACAATAACCATGGCTCTAGATTCGATACGTCAGTAAATGTTTGGATCGTGCTCAGTTACAGGTTGGGTCGCATTCGGTCTGGAGATCAGGGACTATCAGAATATTCTAGCAGGCGGCTAAAATGAAAAATAAAATTGATGAGGGATTTGGCGCAACGGTTAGAGAGTAGGATTTGTGACCTAACGGTTGCAGGTCCGAGACCCGAATTGTGCGTCGAATTCTTGTGTCCTTGAATAACACACTTCATCCCTGTATTCCAGTCTACCCAGCTGTAAATGGGTACCGGTAGGATGGTGTATGGATTACACAAAAAACTGTTGCGCTTCTTGAAGCAGCATATGTTGGGGCTCTTTCTAACATTTAAAAAAAGTTCAGGGGTAAAGTTAGGTAATCAGACTTTACCTGTATCCTAGAGACCGGGGCCTGTTTCACCAAATTTTAACTAAGATAAAATCCAAATTTTAGTAATTTGATTGGATAATATTAGACTAAAATTTGGATTTTATCTTAAGTTAAAATTTCGTGAAACAGGCCCCGGGATAGCAATTGTGTCGCGCTTTGAGCATAAACTTAGTTTGTGTATATAGCGCATTACAAATATGCACATTATTATTATTATATAATATATTTTTGGGGAAAAATATTGATCGATAGTTTTTGGGGATCGATCAATAATTTGTGTCTTAAATTTTTCGTGAATCGATTTTCTTTTGTAAATTAAAGATACTTTCTCAGAAAAGTATTTATCGAGTGGTTATTTCCAATATGGAAAGTATAGACACCTAATTTTGCCATACTTTTATTGGAAATAACCACCCGATAAATACTTTTCTGGGAAAGTATCTTTAACTAAACTAATAGATATAAAGACCCGTTCTCACGGTGCGACTTGTAGTAACTACTTGTAGTATATACATGTAGTATCTACTTGTAGTATATACATGTAGTATCTACTTGTAGATTACAAAATCGTATATAAATGAGTTGATACGACTTGGAATGTCGCGATAATCTCGTCTTGTCTTATCATAATGGCGTCATCAAGCGACGAAGAGACGCTGGCTATTATTGCCCTACATTTGATAAATAAGAACAAAAAGAAAAAGAGATTACCCAAATCCGTCTGGGTTAGACAGTGGATACTGCGACGTAGACCCACTGTCCATGTTGACCAACAACAAAGGGGGAGAACTTGTGTTTGTACTAATACTCGACGTCTCTGATTGGTCAATTTCATACGATCTGTTGACTGAAATAGGGAAGTTTCTATTTCGTTTAACTCGCTTTGAACTGGTTGGGAGCTTGTAAAAGTTGGTACGACTAGGGTGTTCTCACGCTGCATCTCGGGTCGATACTACAAGTAGTTACTACAAGTCGCACCGTGAGAATGGGCCTTAGCGTTTAAAATCTGTGCAATACAGATAAACA